CCCGCGTATCAGAAAAGGCCTTTACCGGAAGCCAACGCTCTAACCGCTAAGCAAAAAACGCCCCACCTCGCCCCATGAATTTAATCCTTTTTGTTTCCACCCATGGTTCCTTTTAGCAATTAATCAGTCTAAAACGTTCTCCTGCAAGATGGTAAACAGTTAGCAGAGTTTATTTTCGCCACAGAACTTCCCCAAAAAATTGAGTATAAGTATAATATAACACGGTTAGAACATATCTGGGGAGCCCTTAGCAGTCGTGGTGGTGGATGCCATACTAATCACGGGAATTTAGACGAAGTATTTATGAAAGATTGATTTTGCATATTTCTATTGTTCCAGGCCACGCTGTTCACGGTTTAAGTGTAGCCACGTATGCCTTGTACATAAAAGGACATATATTTTAGTGGGTGCTAATAATAGTGCCCGTTTCAGTAATACCGACCGAGACCGCGTCTACCTCACATGTTAAGATTACAGAAGAATGCTCGTCAAGCATCGGAACTATTTTTTTCTTTACATTTGGGTTCCTGCAGGAATTCAGCCTCAGAGACAGTTTTAGCCACATAAATGTTTCCACGTATAGGGAATACAAACCAACCAATGGTGCTAGCCTGGTGGTCACTACGCAAGGCCCTCTATGCCGGCGCCAGATCTATACATTGGCCGCTGGAGTTCCCATCTGAGGACCAGGCTTTAATCAACTGGTGGCTCACTCTGCTTCTGCGTGACTTAACAATTGAGAACTTGAACTCATGGCCCGTTTCGTAGGTTTGGGTAAATACTTGCGATAATAAACAGCCATTTCCCAACGTTCTAACCGCTAAGCTACAAACGTTGGCTTCCGGTAAAGGCCTTCTTTGATACGCGGGTTCAAATCCCGCCGAAAGCCCCGAGTATTTTCACAATTGGGTCAACTCAAATTAAGAAAATCTGCCAATCCTTCTAATAATAAATGTAAGGACTGGAAACAAATGGGAGATGTTGAGGGATCACATGTATTTGCGCTATGCAATGGCAAAATATCGGCAGCAGAAGTGTCTGATCTTTTAGGTTTTACTCGGACTGTCAGTACTGTGTTATCTGGTATATTTTATTCACTTGTGGATGCACTGCTGAATTGTGTAGTCTAAACATAAGGAATTAGGGAAAGAAGCAGATATAATCACTGGGACATTAAATTTATTCGCCTGACGTTTCGGATTCTATCATAGACAATAGCATAAGCAGGTACTCCATAGGATACGGTCAATATGCTACTGCATACCTATCACAATTAACGGCTCCCGCTATCGAGGAAAGTTGCCGGCTTATGCGCTAATTGCTTGATGGCAGGCGCGCGAGCCTTGACTTACTGAATTGTTGTCATCCGTCTTGAACTTGAGTGTTATGAATGCTAGGCCATCTGGCTCTCTGACGCTGGCGTTAAACGACGCGTTGGCCAGTATGTTCCTTAACTGGTGACTTTCTTAGGCTAAACTAAGCCTCAGCACCGAATATTATTTGAGCAGGTCGTTGCACTTGGCTATACACTGAAGGCCGTAAACCATGATTCAGGCCACTCGCGGCTCATATGATTTTCACCTCTTGTGTGAACTTTGGCCTTGTCGAATTTGAATGTGTGGCCGGCTCTCGTTGAATGAGCCGTAGCTTGAGAATTGGCGTCATTTATTTGCACTTCTGCCGCGTGTTCGCCGACTTGTGTTTTGGAAGTCTTCCAGTTTCTCCGACGTAGTTGTTTTCTCTGCATCAAATCTTATAGACGACTCCATAGGTTTCTTGCCGTGGCAATAGGAATTTTTGATTTTATTATCTAATGCTTTATGATTGCCTCCGGTATGGACGCGATGGAATCCGAAATATTTCGCGAATAATGTTTTTGGCACAGCGATTACATCTGCTTCTTAATTAATATCTTTTACTCGCACTTCCTCTCGTAGTGAA